TCAATAGATGACTGAGAAAATAAATATATCATTAAAGACAAGCTTTTTAAAAATCATTCGAAACAACATTGCCACTGTGCAGAAGTTGTGGCATACAATTTCTTTATAGTTTGGTAATAACGAGTATTCAGTTTTCCATCACTGCTTCACACTGATATTGGAGGGTTTCCGAAGTGTCCCACAAAGATTGTTTATATATGCGGCTTTTGCCTGCTTGATAGTGTGAATACATTTATTACAAACTGGACTGAATTTATACCAATGAGTAACAATTTGCTTACGTTTGGCTCTTTTATTTGCTCGTTTACGTTTCCAAATTAGCATTTGTATTTTGTTGGACATCCAAGGAAGTTCTTCAGGTCTTGATAGTTACAATTTTGCTTGGAATTCAACTTTTATCAATGTCCAGCAATGTATTTGTAAACATTTTTATCGCAATGTTTATATCATAAACTTCAATCAATGTGTTCCAGTTAAAGGGACTAAATGGCTAGATTTCGTTATTTTTATCAGTTATGAAATGAATATCTTACCGTTTAGTCTCTTTTATCTAGTTCAATTTATCTCTAAATAAATAATGTTTTCCACGATCAAAAAAGCCAACTTTTAACTTGAAACTGTGTTACATCGGTTTAACGATGTTAAAATAAGTAGGACAGTGATACCTGACTGGTTGATCAAGGAATGTTTTACTAACCACACATTTACTAACGATATCAATATTGCTAGCGAAAACTCCATCTAACAATGAGATCGAAGTTTCAGTATAAAATATTTGGGAGTATACAAGCTGAGATTAATTAAAAAGAACAAGCATATCGCGTAGGTGAGAGGACTGGTTTTCAACTGGTAAGTTAGAATTGTCACATTGTTAGTACAATATGAGATATACCTGTATCTTAAAAGCATGTTCAATAGACTGAGAGATATGGGACCACGTGATAACTGGAGAATTTGGTGGTCTATAGAAAGTGCCATATGAATATTTCCATGGACCAAGGACTATTTCCAACTATATGCATTCTAATGTTAGTGACTCTAGGTCTCTTCTTTTTGGCAGATTTGTGTTCTTTGACCTATGCAGAAAAAATCACCTCCAATACAGTAACAGGATGTATATTCTATGCTAATATCATAGAATGCGGGATCACAACGAAAGAATCCTACATTATTGGGTCAGTAATTGTCATATACTGCGTGAATCGGACTGATCGTAAAAGGCGTTGTTGGATCAATATAGATTAAACATTTAGCATCAAATATATATCGTCATTACCGGATAAAACATTATTTATCAGATATATCATACATTGTTATATCAGAATATTAGTATCGTTCATTTAGTGTCAAGGGTCAATTGTAAGTATATCATATATTGTTGAGTCAAAAAATAGATCACACATTGTTAAGTCACGGATCAATCATAGTTGGGTCAAAATAGATCACTATATATAACATTCATATACGACTCCGATCCACTGTTTGAGTTGAAGATTGCTATGGTTATTTTTCAACATAGACACAAGTCATACGCCATGTAGCAAATCATTTCGACATTACATACATTATATTACTTATCATATACACTATCTTATTATTTATTATTATTTTTTGTAGTAAACAAAATAAGGGAAAAATGTTTCATGTAAATAACTTCCTTCTTTACCCATAATGTTGGAAAGGAGAAAACGAAAGTAGAATTTGTAATTATCATATATATACTGTATTTTGCTTATTACTGTTTAAACATGTTTTGCAAATGATATACATATACCTACTGTTTTACTGAGTACTTCCTTAATAAAATTCCCAGTTGGAAACAAGCTAATTAGATCGTAGACGAAAGACTAACTTCTACGCTAAACCTGTCCCACCAGAGAATCGCACAATGAAGTGACGTCATATCCTACAGGTATATATTTACCCATTAAAATAAACACATATCAAACTGAAAATGAAACCGATCAACAATGTTCAACAAACATTCGTAATAAACATTTGTATCAGATATATATACATCTAGATATAAAAAATGGGTGTACTCTCACCTTGTCTGTAACCTAGGTTATAAAAATTTTCTTGGGATTTTGACTAGTAATTTACTAAGAATTGATTTAAGTTCGGTAAGTCCAATTCACGCGACAAAAATAAATAAATAAATAAACTTATCTCAAACAATTCGGTAAGAATTGAAAATAGTACTATTAGTGAACAGAAAGTGTGAAAAAACGTTTTATAGTTCCCAATATTAGCATATATGAACAGTACGTACATGACGCTTATCATGTATCAAATTTTGTAATTAGGCCAAACAAAAAATATTTCTTGTTTCCAGTAACCTTACCCACCCTAATATTTTTGGCCTACCCTAAATTTTCTGGGGCATTTTTTTATATTTTTTTTAAAAATGATACATCGAAAAACGTTGGAAATATATGCATAGCCAGCAAAGTCGTAATGTCTTGAAAATATTGTAATGCAAAAATACTTCAATTTTGGTGGCATCTCTTCTAATATTACAGAAATCACGTGTCACTAAAATGCTATTCTTTAAAGTCTTAACTGATTAGTTTATATGAGGAGATAAACAAAGTTATTTTTGTGCATAACAGTGATGTCATTTGGATATAATCTATTGGCAGAATATTTTTTTTTAAAAATTACTTCTAATTTTTCCCGTACCTAGCATAAACGTTCGTCCTTTTCACATGAAGAAGACACGTATTCAATTTAAGTTGTTCAAAATGGTCTAATTGAGTTGTCTTTAAAATCTCAACTATATTTTGGACTGTGTAATTTTGTATAAAGGTGGTTGAACTTTTGGTATTTATAGGTTTACATTTCAAGAATAAAATTTCTGAACAGTAGATACGCGAATCATTGCTAGGTTTTCTTTGTATCATCAGGAACCATTTGTTTCCAAAGTGAGAAATATGTATTATTTTCGGAACAGGTTTTTTTGATATGTAACAGTACCTTTGAAACTACATACAATTAGCACAATAGACTTTGTTTTGACGTCATTCTCGGGTATGTATGGAACAGCTGGTCGGATTTGCCTACATTAGATCAAACAACGGGTTATTTCTTGGAATGTACGAGTCTATTCGTGAGGGTCTAGAGACCCTAAAAGTGTGTAGTTCTGACTGTCTCTGTGTTTAGCATTTTCTCTTGACATTTCTTGTCGTCTGAAACAACATATCTTTACTGAAGTCCAGGAAATAAATTCCTTAAGTCTGCATTTGCATATTGATTATAAACAAATGTCTCTCTCATTCTCGCACCTGCGATCTTAACTGCGTTTAAGTCATAAACAAAAACGACAAATACAGTTTTATTTAACAAAGAAAATCATTCATCGATTATAATCACCCAATATAGAAGGATAGTAATTTTTTTAACATTTTTAATTAACCAATAAAATAATTCTAACACGTGAACATTGTACCCGTAGAGTAGTATAATGTAGTTTTCGGAAAAACAGCTCTATATGTTGACAATGGTTATAGTTTCGTCAACCTCTAACAATTTAATACCCGGTCATAACTTCAAAATAAAGGGTGAAGAGGTCCTTTAAGCATACTCGATACTCCAGGGGGTTAGGAACAAGTCATGGCAAAATTGAATGTTCCGTGTGCGACACCTTTTGGACAAGACAAAAAGACTAGTTTGATCCTTAGAAGTACACCAAACGAATCTCGAGGTCGCATAACCACTCTACTGTAATGGTTTTGAAGTTAGGTGTCGTTCATTTGTAATTTCCAAAAGAAGCATATCAGCCTGTGATTGGTCAGTTCTTTTTTTCTCCTGGAACCAATCGGATTACTTCGCTTGAGCCTTCAGTTTTACCATGACATGTCTCAGGGCTGCAGAGAACGAAAGTGATCGTAACCCCATTAGTACCGAGGATGCGCATTCAAACGCCAAGGGAAATAACCTTATGATCAGTTCTATTGTACACAATTACATGAGATTCTATTTTATGTTTGAACATAATTTTGACAAAATTCAACTTTTAAATGATTTTGAAATTTCCTAACGCTTATCAAATGTAAAGAAATATCTAGTAGTATTCCCTATTTGAGCATGCCACAATATGGCCAATATCGGGTTGAATTGAGGAAATCAAACGAGTTGGCGACACTACGGTGTTATGTAGCACATTGATCACTGGCGAGAGTTGTAATTGATCTCCAAAATTACACTGTCATCAAAGTTGATTTTCAATGGTTTTTCTTTAAATTATTCACAGATGCCGAAGTTGATCGATGGTATTGTTTATATATAGAACTACCTGCCGCCAAATGTTTCGTGGTACCCACAGGTAAATGTAGAGTAATATGTATGTTTATTGTAGTGTTATTGCAGGTCTTTTGCGGTGGTTTTACAAGATAAACACGTTCTACTGATGTGTCAGTGTGATTGTTTGCAATTAACAAGGAAGTAATTGTAGTCGAACCTCGTTATCTCGAACTCATGAAACTCGAAGACCCGGTTTAATTCGAAGTATTTCGTTGGTACCTGCCTAAATCTACACACATTCGAACTCGCTTAAATCAAATACTCAGTTATCGAAGTTTTCCCATGGTCCCGCAGAGTTCGAGATAACGAGGTTCGACTATACTTCATTCCAGATGAAAATGGAAAGTGAAAGTCTCGAAATGCATATTATCAGTCTATGATTTCAAGTTTTTATTTCTGTACATGTAGAAAAATACTGATTCCCATTTCAATGATTAAATATTTTAGTGGCATTTCTGTGATATCCCGTATGTTTTTAAAGTCATTTAGATATATCATGTAGGTCTCTTAATACACAGAACTGAAGTAGATATCATTTATTGTCATTAGTAAATGTAAGCGGTCACATGGATCTGTATGTGCAGTAATAAGTGCTAGTATCCAATATGTCTGTTTAACACACAATAACGAAACAAGTTTTGAAGTATTGTAATTAACATTTTTTTAATATTGTGAATAAAAATAACGTAAAACAGTAGTTGTACTTGGAAAAATGGTTTTATTAGTAAAATCAAGTGTGATTGTTCAAAATCACATTTGTTTTCATCCTTGCCGTGTGTATTTCTTTACAAATTCTTAACCAAATTGGTTGTTACTTTCAACTCAACCATTTCCTGGATAGAGACAGAGGATATTCATTTCCAAAATTAAAAAAAAAAATCCTATTCTCTCAAGAATATGAAATTTGGATAAACTGCTTCACAGAAACACATCGTAATATCATTAATAAAACCATTTACCTAAAGTAGAGTTCAAGCAGTAAAGACCTACAATGTATTTAAGTAGAAAGTAAATAACAACAATACAATATATTCATCTCTTCTTCGTTCTTAAAACCACTACAATTCTTTACATGTTGTGAAAGAGACTGAGTATCAAAAAGTGAAGTTGTAGAGAATTAAATGATAGTGACTAAATGCTTAATCCTTAACAAAGCATTTCATGAACACACAAATAACATAAGTATAGTACATAGCTTTAAATATATCTAACACTTTCAGGTTCTCTGGTATAAATACTGGGAAAACCATAAAAATATTCAATTTCATATACCAATAATTAACAGAATCATAACAAAAGGACAGATTGACAAACAATAATCTCTGTGTGAATATTATAAACCACTTAAAAAATTTTAACTGAACATCATAAGTAAAAAATTCATTATGCAAGTGTTGGTATGTTTCACAAAAGAAAATATTAAATACATGGTCAGCAAGAACACCCTCAAAACCATACCATAGTCGCCTGTAGAATTGTAGATTCCAGAATATACTTTGTGAAAAATATTGTAACCTTGGTAAAACCTAGCCGCAATATACCACTCAGCTAGAGAGAAATTCTCTTTAGCTTGAATGGTTGAGTATCAGTCTAGTAAGGCACAGGTCCCGGGTTCGAATCCTAGCAGAGCCTTTGAAATAAATTATGACCTCTGTTATACTGGTGACCATGTAAGTCTCAGGAAAAATACTTAGTATTTCACAAGTTTTGCTGAAGCCCCTGGAAATTTGAAGTCAAGTTTTTTTCCAGGAGGGGGAGTAAGTAACCCTGGTAAAATACTAGCAGCAATATATAGCTCAGCTAGACAGAAATTCTCTTTAGCTTGAATGGTTGAGTGTCAGTCTAGTAAGGCAGGGGTCCTGGGTTCGAATCCTAGCAGAGGCATTGAAATAAATAATGACCTCTGTTACAATATCATAACGAACATCAACTATGACCAGACTTGTCTTAACATCTCACATCTCTTCAGCCTTCAGACATCAAAATCTACCAAAAATAAGAAAAGAATGTAATCTAGACAGACTAACATTATTATACAAGGTAGGTGAATGTATCAACTAACTCTACTCACACTATCATCAGCACCTCACACCAGCTCATACAAGTATAGATGATAATTATCACAGCTGAGCAGGATAAGGATTTAAAACTAAAGCAAATTATTATCAAATATTTACATTTCCAGTGTGTACCCTCTATTTGGCCTTACCGACAAAATTGATGTTAACAATTCTGTAAACATCATCTCTTGTGTGTTGGAGGCCGGGCCACTGTATCTATTATGTACAAACTAGAAATCCGAAAGCAATATGTAAATAGAAATGTTTATATTTAAAATATCCCAAAAAATGTAATAAAGACGACATTTTTGTAGAACTATCTTTTGTTTACTTCCCAATGATGACAAACTTTCCTGCGAAATTGGAATCAGCTGTTTTGCTATTCCATCAGTTGTAAGGGTGTTCCTTCAGTGCGTATAACGTGCAATGAGTGATAATTATTGGGTTTTTTTTTAAGGGGAAATGATTGTAACTTGATCTGAAGAAATGAACTACATGCAAAAATGATTGACGAATGATTATTGCTGCAGAATATGGGTATCACAAATGGAACCAACAACGCTCCAAATTAATTAATGTTTCTGACATATGCTTCTTTCAACACAAAGATCAATAACCACTAAAAATCAGTTGATATTTATATTTCTGTCTTCTCTGTGTTTTAATCACAAGCAGTTACAATAAAGAATCTAAGCAATTACCAGAGATGCTTTACAGATTTCACTGAACTTAATAAGGTACCACGGCAAGCACATTCTGCCTGGCATAAATTTCTTGCAGGTAAATTTACATTTACATGACGTCAAATTCTGAAACATATTCTGTAATCAAAGGATGGTGGTCGATTTAATTGACATCATCAGTCTATATTGATACTAAAACTTATCAAATTTTATCATTGTAGCATATAGAAAATATTTCACAAATATTCTGACAACAGGTGCTAACTTTGCTCAAACTCATTGAAATCAGATGGTCATGTGATACAAGATGATGAATATCTGTATTTATTCACAATGTAACTCTGGTCTTAATTTCAATTTTTATGTCCGACTTTTACCAGTAAAAGTTTTCTTCTTCTAGCCGAAATGAGCAAGACGTGATATTTTGAAAATGAAATTTGTATCTTCTATGACCAACAAATGGGTTACCTGGTAAGTGCACATTTGACAGATGAACTGACTTTCATTTGTAGAAATTTTGAACCGTAAAAGATTTTATTCCAACAAATCTGTTTACAGTACTCTAACATGACATTATATCAAACAGTCACATTTATATGTATTTACATGTAAAGCAATGGAATGCTATTTTTCATAATGTAAAAATGTACAGACCTTCATTTACAAGTTTATTATGCAGGGCAGATCACTTCACTGTCTACAATATCGTCAACCAAAATTTAACAAGTGTACAATCCCTTTAACATAAAAAAAGGGTCAAATATGTCATTGTTACCTGTGATTCTACATCTGATGGTAGTATATTTGACGACAGAATCAGTGAGAAGATTATGTAAAGATAAATTCAATTATCATTTTCTTAAAAGAAAATTGATATTTGCATTACTCTTTAACTAATAAGATTTCACAGTGCACTCAGCCTTCTAAGGGATAGGGTATGTTATTGTTTATAGTATAACTTCCATCCTTGTGAAATGATGCAGATGTGAACTGGAAAGGTGAGGCAGGAAGAGAACTTTTAAAGGAGTACAGACTACAGTCCTTAAATGTACACGGTGACAACCTCCAGGCATAACGGATTCCAGCAACATTCTGAGGACCACATGACGCTGTTGTCACTGTTACACTACTCAGGGTTTTGCTGACAACAGATGCTGGTAGCCACCATGCATGACCATTGCAAATCTTTTTATCGTCGTAAGAACAACAGATCTGTAAGGAAGGCAACAAGTTATTAAAAAAATCGTCCTGAATCAAGAATCTCCTTTTTTTTTGCATGGTTTGTAGTATAAGATCAGCATATGTTTATTCAAATCAATTTTTATGCCCCCAAATTGGAAGATCTGGAGAATATTGTTTTTGTGCTGTCTGTTTGTCTGTAGTCAATTTTAACCTTGCCCATAATTATTGTGCTTTAAGAGATAGGGCTTGCATATTTGGCATGTATATTCCTTGTCACAAGACCATTCCATTGATACCAAATCTATTGAAAATGTGACCTTGAATGTGACCTTTGACCTACATTTAAAAGTATAAGAAAATCATTACCACAATGATGACATAAGTGTTTTGCAAAGTGTGTGCAATTTGCACATGCGTTACACAGTACAGTTTTAATGTCCAACTTCAGAATTTTGTTGCAACCAGGGACATGTTTCATAAACACATTTCCTTTATTGCTGGTATCCAACATTTGAATGGATTTCAAAATGTGTCAAAGAATGTCAATACATTCTCTAGTTTCTAGTCAAACATATTCATAATTTTTTTTAAAATGAGTCTCTTAATCTGGTAAACCGTTAATTTTATGTTATACCATATCAATGTAAAACTAGGTCAACTTTAATGTTTTGTGTTGTTAATATGCATATATATTAAGCAAAAGCCATTTAACTGATGAAACAGCTTTGCATTATCACTGAACATTCTGTACTATTCTTAACATAACAAATGCTATGATAACAAGTTTATCTGGTTTTAGAATATTATGATCCTGTGTTATGTGATTGCCTGTACCATTCTTATAATGTAATTTGTAATTAACATATTGTCAAGTATTTTACTAACAAGAGATCCATGTGGAAGATTAGCCCATGGCTTAGTTTCTAATATCCTCAATAAAGTATATGTATCAGGGTTTTCCATAAGAGCCGGTCGCCGGCCAATTTGACCGGCTACTTTGATCATTTGGCCGCCTACACCAATCCAGTTCCGTAATATTGTTCCGTACACGACTACACATACATGGCAGGCCAGCCTCTAACTTTCACTACACAGCCTACTACTAACAAAATTATGGAAAACCCTGATGTATCATTATTATAATCAAATAACTATTGGGAGTGGACCTCTTATTTTGAAGAGTATATACAGGTAATGACTGTTATGAATCACACGAGTTGTGAGTGTTGATAACACCTGGTAACCTACCTCAAAGCCAACACTGTTTCTGAGTTGCAGAACCTCTGTTCCATTGTTATAAACTATTTCAAGCCTGCTAGTAGCAGTGTCCACCTTGAAACCAGAAGGCAGTGGGGCCTGGTATGAAATGTCTTTCTGGTGATAAGCGACAGCCAGACTGGCATTGACCAATCGTCTTGCTACATCTTGTTTATCTCGAGGATGGATCCTGGTAAAAAGAATGACCCCATGAACTAAAAATATCTTAAATGATCATTTTTATTCTGTATCAAATTCTGATTTCACCTTCAGGAATTCAATGAGTACAATACATCTACTCCTAGCCAATTGCTAGTTTTTAATGTTCAATAACTCATTTAAAAACAAGAAGAAAAACATTTTTTTTCTCTCAAAGAAAACTATGCAGTATCTTCTATTCATGAAATAATAAAATAAAGATTAATCTTAAAACAATGTTTTTTTTTCACTAAAGATAAGGAAGAATGCTGATTAATATTACAATTATATGTACCATTGAATTACTGATGTGTATGTAAAAGTTACGGTCTCTAGTACTCATATACCTTTTTTCTCAAAGTTAGTGTGCAGGTAATACAGACAAGAATTACCAGTAAGTTCCTGTCTCGCATGTCCAAAATTATCACAAAAAGAGCTTTTGATATAAGGCTCTTTCATATGTCGGGGTATAGGATAGGGATATTCCAGGTAATGGGCTACAAAGTGTCATAAAAACTGAGGCTTTGCCGAGAGTTTTACCAAATATTGTGACCTCAAGGGTGAAATATCCCATCTTTCACCCCAACGTATGAGAGAGTATTCTTCTCTCATTTCTCTTTCTAACATATTGGGAAAAGTAGCTTCAGACATCTGCAATGTGCTACAATGGATGCCATATTACGCAAAAATTCATATTTTTATTATGCAATTAATCGACAAATAGACAAAGAAAATGAATTCTCAAAACCTAAATTTGGCAAACAAAGCTCACCCTAGAAAATCAAATAAAATATTCACTGCAAATAACTATTTGTGCACAAATGTGTATATATCTACATCGTATCAGGCAATGACGTCAATATTTCTATGCGCGTATGTGTATTGCGTGGGTGGGTTGGTGATACCAGAACACTGAACCAGGGACAGACAAAGAAACAAACACAGCATGAGAGAATGAGTTGTTTAGTACTGGAATTGAATGGTGTTGCCATAACCTTAAGAACTTCCTCATTAAAAATGAACTTACGGTCCATAAGGGGACAAAAAGTCAGGTAGATCCATCGCATTTGCCATGAACACATTCTCCATCTTCTTGTTTGGGACAAAACCAAAATCTGCCGTCTGGTGCCAACGGATGTCAGGAAAACCACTAAAATCACTCATGTTCGGAATATTAGCACCGAGCTAGAAATTAAACAAGAGGCCCATGGGCCTTAACGGTCATCTGACAAAAAGCAAGCCAAACCTAGAAAGTGGGTTGAGGTCATTCATTTGAACAAACTTGGTAGCCTCTCCTCCAAGCATCTTACAGGCCCAATATCAGCACTCATGGACTTTTGCTTGTTGAGAAGAAGTCGTTTGTATATTTTAACATATTTGACCCCTGTGACCTTGAAAGTGGGTTGAGGTCATTCATTTGAATAAACTTGGTAGCCTTTCCTCCCAGCATGCTACAGACCCAATATCGGCACTCATAGACTTTTGCTAATTGAGATGAAGTCCTTTGTATATTTTAACATATTTGACCCCTGTGACCTTGAAAGTGGGCCAAGGTCATTCATTTGAACAAACTTTGTAGGGCTCCATGCCAGCATGTTATGGGCCAAGTATTAGCCCCCTAAGCCTTCTAGTATTTGAGAAGAAGTTATTTAAAGATTTTGACATATTTGACCCCTGTGACCTTGAAGGTTGTTCAAGGTCATTCATTTAAACAAACTTGATAGCCCTTCATCCCAGCATGCCACAGGCACAATATCAGCAATCTGAGCCTTTTGGTTATTGAGAAGAAGTTGTTTAAAGATTTTAACATATTTGACCCCTGTGACTTTTAAAGTGGGTCAAGGTCATTCATTTGAACAAACTTGGTAGTCCTTCATCCCAGCATGTCACAGGCCCAATATCTACACTCTGAGCCTTTTGGTTAATGAGAAGAAGTTGTTTAAAGATTTTAACATATTTGACCCCTGTGACCTTGAAAGTGGGTTGAGGTCATTCATTTGAATAAACTTGGTAGCCTTTCCTCCCAGCATGCTACAGACCCAATATCGGCACTCATAGACTTTTGCTTATTGAGATGAAGTCCTTTGTATATTTTAACATATTTGACCCCTGTGACCTTGAAAGTGGGCCAAGGTCATTCATTTGAACAAACTTTGTAGGGCTCCATGCCAGCATGCTATGGGCCAAGTATTAGCCCCCTAGGCCTTCTAGTATTTGAGAAGAAGTTATTTAAAGATTTTGACATATTTGACCCCTGCGACCTTGAAAGTTGTTCAAGGTCATTCATTTAAATAAACTTGGTAGCCTTTCCTCCCAGTATGCTACAGACCCAATATCGGCACTCATAGACTTTTGCTTATTGAGATGAAGTCCTTTGTATATTTTAACATATTTGACCCCTGTGACCTTGAAAGTGGGACAAGGTCATTCATTTGAACAAACTTTGTAGGGCTCCATGCCAGCATGCTATGGGCCAAGTATTAACCCCCTAGGCCTTCTAGTATTTGAGAAGAAGTTATTTAAAGATTTTGACATATTTGACCCCTGTGACCTTGAAAGTTGTTCAAGGTCATTCATTTAAACAAACTTGATAGCCCTTCATCCCAGCATGCCACAGGCACAATATCAGCAATCTGAGCCTTTTGGTTATTGAGAAGAAGTTGTTTAAAGATTTTAACATATTTGAGCCCTGTGACTTTTAAAGTGGGTCAAGGTCATTCATTTGAACAAACTTGGTAGTCCTTCATCCCAGCATGTCACAGGCCCAATATCTACACTCTGAGCCTTTTGGTAAATGAGAAGAAGTTGTTTAAAGATTTTAACATATTTGACCCCTGTGACCTTGAAAGTGGGCCAAGGTCATTCATTTGAACAAACTTTGTAGGGCTCCATGCCAGCATGCTATGGGCCAAGTATTAGCCCCCTAGGCCTTCTAGTATTTGAGAAGAAGTTATTTAAAGATTTTGACATATTTGACCCCTGCGACCTTGAAAGTTGTTCAAGGTCATTCATTTAAATAAACTTGGTAGCCTTTCCTCCCAGCATGCTACAGACCCAATATCGGCACTCATAGACTTTTGCTTATTGAGATGAAGTCCTTTGTATATTTTAACATATTTGACCCCTGTGACCTTGAAAGTGGGACAAGGTCATTCATTTGAACAGACTTTGTAGGGCTCCATGCCAGCATGCTATGGGCCAAGTATTAGCCCCCTAGGCCTTCTAGTATTTGAGAAGAAGTTATTTAAAGATTTTGACATATTTGACCCCTGTGACCTTGAAAGTTGTTCAAGGTCATTCATTTAAACAAACTTGATAGCCCTTCATCCCAGCATGCCACAGGCACAATATCAGCAATCTGAGTCTTTTGGTTATTGAGAAGAAGTTGTTTAAAGATTTTAACATATTTGACCCCTGTGACCTTTAAAGTGGGTCAAGGTCATTCATTTGAACAAACTTGGTAGTCCTTCATCCCAGCATGTCACAGGCCCAATATCTACACTCTGAGCCTTTTGGTTAATGAGAAGAAGTTGTTTAAAGATTTTAACATATTTGACCCCTGTGACCTTTAAAGTGGGTCAAGGTCATTCATTTGAACAAACTTGGTAGAGCTCCATGCCAGTATCCTCTGTGCCAAGTATTAGCCCCCTAGACCTTCTAGTATTTGAGAAGAAGTCGTTTGAATGAAAGTTTACGGACGGCGCACGGCGGACGGCGCACGGCGGACGACGACGGACGAAGCATGATGACTATAGGTCATCGGACCCTTCGGGTCAGATGACCTAAAAACATATAAAACATTCCTCCAAGTTACAAATATAGTTATGTATCGTCAAAGTTATGCTAAACTGAAACAATTAGACTTCCCATTAAGTCATGATTGTCCTCAGCATCATTTTTTTAGAAGATACATTTGTACCAGTAAAGATTTCTATGTTATTTCTTATAGGAGATGAAATATCTGGAGAAATACAAAAAGTTCCTTTACATGTCTTACACTACATATACAAATATTCATTTGTACCCCATATATTGTCGTACCTAATAGTTGTGTGAAATTGTACAACAGATATATATAAACTGTAATTTAAAGTTTACAATAATTGCAACAACGATACCATGTGACCTGTAGGACTAATCACAACTCAAATAAAGACGAGTAGAAGAGCCAAGGCCGTGTACTGTTACATGGTGGATAGATCGGTTCTAGACTTCCTCTATGTAGTTATCTTACCTGGTATAACTGCAACCATAACCTCAACCTCTACTTCAAAATCTTCAATATTCTTTAATATATGTATACATACTGTTATGACAATTAATTTCACAGTTTTACAGAAACCTTGTTGCAAAACGGATGTACTTATCACAGAAGACATGAAATGTGCGGTATATGTTTTCCTTACTCAATTCTATTTTGAAAATATCCAGATTTTGCAAATTTTTATTCCAATGTTGAAAATAGTGAAAATCTGAAACCCTCAAAATTAAAAAAAAAAAAATATACGACACAGCAACAGAACAAATAACACAAGTGGAAGACAAATCAGTCGTCTCTGTTTTGTAATATATACCATTACAAATCCAAAAGGAAAGCTTGGGTCGTTCTGTCCGTGTGAAGCATGGAACTTGGCTCGCCAATCACTGATCATTGACGGAAAAGTACAGTTGTAGGTGGTGGGTTTCCGAGCATTGTTTTCACCTAACATCATAACAGAAGGGGAAATGTCATGAAAGAATATACTAATGTATAAAGGTTTAATTTATCATATTAGCAGTGACATGTAAAGAGGATTTTATCAATTACACTGAAAATCATATGAGATTGTTATCACCAAGAATAACAACTTTTGTTTGCAACAAGTATTATTTTATATAGTGGCTGTCAGTGTTGTAAGTCTACATACCCTGACAAATAGCTCTAAACAAGGTTATGTTGATAGAGAGTGGTCAATCTAGTAGATCTATATTTTGCTGATAACAAATATCTTCAAAGTCATTAACTCCTTAAATGGCCATGTTGACATGGACAGATCAATTCAGAATTCCTTTTGTCCCTAAGAACAAATATCTCCATATAAGGTCATGTTGATTAAATCTTTTCAATGTATAGTATATCTACTTTCCCTGAAAACAAGTATGTCCATATATGGTCATATTGATGGAAAGGGATCACATACCTTGGTACCAGATAGCTCCATATATGGTCATATTTAGAAGAGGATTAATCATCGCATTCCACAAAATAACGGCAGTTTGAGGCCCACCATAATTTCTATATGATGACATCCTGCAGAAAAATTATAAGTTCTGGTAATTGCTATCAGATATGTTTCATGATGAAACTGAAAATCATCTAGAATTTCAATTACCGTACCTAAATCCATCAGAAAAAAGTATACAGAGAAAACTCCAAAGGGTGATAAGATTAGAAATTTCTGTTCAACAGTACACACATGACAATGTAGAATAAATAGGGAAAAGTTAAAAATTATTTAATTACAAATTCATAATCGCAAACAACTTATCAGGTCCTTAAAGAAACAGTTTCAAAGTAAGTGACATCCATCCTTTACAGTTTGATGTTCCTGTACCTGCCATAAATGGGTTCCACAAGCTGGTCAGATGTCATTGTCCCGCTCTCTAATCCACACTTTGCCAGTGCGTCTGGAGATGACCAAGCCTCCACAGGTGTGCCTCCCCAGCAAGTGTTTAGTAGACCTATTGGGTAGCCCAACTTCTGGTACAGGTATTTACCATACAGCCAGCATACTGCTGAGAAATAGTTCCAAGCTCCTCCACCGACCGAACCTGTAAAATAAACATAAATGAAACATTTGTTGATGCTGATAGACAGCATGTACAATTCAAACTTTTGTCTATTAATAAAGAAGTGTGAAATCTGATTTTAATCAAAATTCATATAAAATTATTTCATATTTCATGATTTTTATAGAGTTTACAGTGAAACCATGTCTGTTAGCTTAACTTATAAACAATGTTAGAGTATTTTCTTTTCCATCAACTTTCTAAACTAAAATTGATGTTTGAAGGTAAATGTGAATAAAATTATTGTTATGACCGCTACAGTGCTACATTCACAAGCAAAAGAAATGGTGTAATATTGTATAAACAAGCATTTCTTTTATGCAAACCACTAAATGAATTTGAGTATCAATTTAAAAAAATAATTAGAATCCAAAAGTAAGAATTTGAAATAAAAATGAGGGAGACTTTCAAAAAATAGGAATTACTGAAAGGAATCATTTCTGACTTGTGAGACAGAGAAAAATTATGAAAAAATATTTTCCTTTTCTTTCAAACTTAGATAGGTAAATGCAGAGTTGACTTACTGCTTGAGGCAACTGACCAAGGCTGCTTGATGCTGTTAGCTGCGTCAAGGTCAGACCAAGGTGTTTTGGATGACACCTGATTGACTGTAAATAGTCTGATCTTGGGAAAGTTATCAGCATCTTTTATCTCTTCAGAGGCGTTGAAGCCCTGACATTAACATAAACAGACTGTTAAGACATCACCATAAAAATTCATGTTAAGAAAATGGTTCCTCCCCTCTTTATCCAACACTGATGCCCCATATCATAACAAGAACACAAATTTGGAAACAATTTGTGAAAAATACATTGATACATGTTCCTTCATAGTAGTTAAGTAATAATAATACAAATGGGATATTTGTAACAACAGTACTGGACAACTGAAAGGTTATATTTGATAGAACTAGAAAAAAATGCAAAAAAACATGATGTTTGCTGTTAGTTACATCCGATATACAAGTATTCCTTTAAATTTGGCCAAGGAATTCAAAATATGGAATAATGATCAATATAACAAATCAAGACACTTGTTTAGCAATACTGATCTAAAGATTTCCAGGATTATTGCTTTGTTTGTATTTCGATTGTTCTATTCCCATCTCCATGATTGTACAACTTATGTCAGTTACATCCGATATACAAGTATTCCTTTAAATTTGGCCAAGGAATTCAAAATATGGAATAATGATCAATAACAAATCAAGACACTTGTTTAGCAATACTGATCTAAAGATTTCCAGGATTATTGCTTTGTTTGTATTTCGATTGTTCTATTCCCATCTCCATGATTGTACAACTTATGTCAGATACGTTCATTAAAAAAGCTTGATAAAGAGCGTAATTCTTTATTTTCTATCTCCAGACAATTCTTTTCTGATTTTGAAATTAATAAATTCACCTTACCTGACTAACTGAAAATTGCATATTTGATTGTCCGGAGCAGAGCCAAACATCTCCAAACAAGACATCTGTAAGAGTAATCTCCCCTTCTGACCCTCGAGCTGTGATGTTGTATGGTCCTGGTCCCTCTACAGGGTCAAGGATCACTCTCCAAAGTCCCTTTGAGTTCACTAAAGCTTGAACTGTCTGTTTGTCCACAGAAACATCTATGAACACATCTGTATATGGGTTGTAACCCCATATCACAGCACGCTGTGGGGCTTTTTGAAGAACCATATGATCGCCATAGTAGGCAGCGAAAGAAAACTGCTTTGGTAATGTCAAGGAAGTGGAGTCATCTACAAAACAATAGAAAAATGTTTGTTTAATGTAATTTCTGAGAGATATGCATAATTACTAGGAGAATATACAAAAATTCTTCAAAATCAAACCAATTGAGCATATAAATTCATATTGATGAGAGCTCTTAATTTGAACTGGTACTGATGGCTTTTTCTCTTCACAAGGTTTTAAAGATATACTTTATCATGTTCCAGATTATTTCATCATGTCACATGCTATCGATTGAATTGTATATTCCATCAATCTATGTCATTTTCAGGAGTTACAAAAATAACTGCTACATTTCATGTGTCAAACTTCAGGAACTACTTATCCCATAAGGATTTAAATTGTTAGTATCAAATACATTGGCATTTAAAGCATTAAGATTATGTTTAACCTATTAAGTGCTAATTTGTTAGTTTCAGAACATTTTCTTCAGGTTGGTAATGTCAATAGAATAGAAGTTCTTATAACACAACCAGTATGAGATTAGAGTGTGATGTTTTGATGACTACACAGTCACCTTCATCAGACAAATGTCATGCAGTGTCGAATGTACAAAAATTGGACCTAGTTGTATGCATTTGTATATAGAAAGCTCATATTCTATATACTCTCCCATGAACGTAATCAATACACAAACCTACAATTGTTTACAGGTATAAGAGCGAATTCAGTCATTTAAAGACTCGACCTACCAATTTCTACCGGTATATCTTGCATGTTCATTTCTATGACATCTTGCTTTCTTGCATTAGCAATGCAGACAGCAAAAAAAGTAAAAAATAATCGCATCATGTTATATTTCCTTGTCACGAGATCGACTTTTTCAGGTTTAGTTGGTCCCCTGCTTTACAAGCGCTTCAACTACTTAGATTTTTCCGATACAAGCGTCGCTTGATTCAGATGATAAACAAAAAGAAAAATAAAAAAATGTCGGCCTTAGCACGAGCTCGAGGACATGTTTACATATTAACCGTAACCTTTTGTATAGCTTCATGTCAAAGATTACATGAAACTGTCGTAGAAATGGCCACTGATGATACATCTGGTAATTAATTGCATGCAGTCTCAAATTAGGTTTTTCGTGTTGTCAAAGAATTTTAATAGGGGCAATTTCGGTAATTGCGAACAGGAGCAACTGTACATAACATGGCCCTTTTGGAATTCCTCCTTGGGAGTCATTTCTATCAAACACTTTGACAGTGTCCCTCGTCGGAACATTGTAAAACGTCCGATATAAATGACTACCAAGGAGGAATCCCACAAGGTACTGACGTACGTTCCTGATAGAAAGAAATTACTCAATAAAACGACAATCGCGTATACTGGCTAAGAAAGATAAGAATGAAGTCAGACTTTTTTCATCAAAATGATTAATGTCAAATGGAAGAATTCTCGGCATTTTAATGGTATTGAAGACGGGTCGAGAGTACACTGTATAAAGTATATAGTGCGATATCGATATTACAGTGAAAAATAACGTTTTGATCCACCATGCATGATGTTGACGTTTTGACATCGTAAAGTGTCGGTGGTCCGCTTGTCTTTAAACAATTCTTGTTATTGGTATTTCTTGAGAAGTACTGAATGCATGAAGTCATCCAAACAAATTAATTATTCTCGTTGGTCTTTAGTTGTGCAATTCTGTTTTCAAGACTGTCAGAAAACAAAATGACTGACGGCGGCCATCTTGTATTTTGACATCAACAATTTGTTATTGCTATTTCTTGAGAAAAGTACGGGATGGCCTTTCATTTGAAGGTTCTTGGAAAGTGCTCAATGGATCTTTCTCAAATTTCATATGTATGTTCCCCTTGGCCTCAGGTTGTGCTCTTTTGGTTTTTGCCATCTTCAATTTTGACAATGAAATTTTGTTACTTTTATTTTCCTGAGAAGAACCAAATGAATTTTTCTCAAATCTTAAGGTTCCCCCTGGTCCATGGCTGTGCCCTTTTGATGTTGGGACTGATCAGAAATGGCTGACAGGCGACTGTTTTAAATTTTGACTATAAAAGTTAATCACTATTTCTTTTGAGATACTTGTAATAAGTTGGTCTTTCTCAGAATCAATTTGTAGGTCCCCCATAGTGCCTAGTTGTGCCCTTTTGTTTTTGTGTCTTACAAGAAAGAAGAGAGGTACTGGATTGATCTTTCTCAGATCTGTAGGTTTCCCTTAGTCCCATTTGCTGCCCATTTGATTTTGGAACTGATCAGAAAAGCAAACTGGCTGTTAGGTGAATGTCTTTGATTTTGACTATAAAAGTTTGTTATCTCTATATCTTGGGGAAAACTTTGTTGACCTTTATTAGTAGCCATATGTAGGTTCCCCCTCTTGGATTTTAATGATGGAAGTTTGTTATCAGTCTGCGCTCTGTCTCAACTTTCACTTATAACTTACCCTGACTCCCTAGTTGTTCCCTTTTGATTTTTGTTACTGGTAAGAAAACAAACTCTGTGACAGGCTGCCATCTTGGATTTGACAGTTATAGATTGCTATCACTGCTTCTTAAGAGGAAACAGAGGAAAGGAAAGAAAAGTAGGGAAAAGATCCAACTTTTGAAAGAACACAAAAATATCAAACAATATTAAGTGGTTGGTGCAAACACCTCTGGGATTTTTTGTTAAATTGTCAAAATTTAATAAAACAAATTTTTATGACAGCATGTTCATCTATTTAGCTTTGTTTTCGCTGTTTATTTTGAAAAGATAAAAATGGTATGTAAGCACAGCAAGACTATATTATAGTAAATCTGTAAACTGTTGCTTTACATAGAGATATAGAAAGTCTTTTATCTGACTATTACACATCCCTACTCAACATACAGTGATAGTGTATACTAACAGTCACCAATAATATTGATATTCAACAGCAGATTACAGTTGTACAGGTATCATATTTTCATTTCAGCTAGCTATGGAATTCAAAGGGAGAGAATATGTAATTGTTGAAAAAAATATTGTGAAGAGTTCTTGTTGCAATAAGCATGAAAAGGTAGAAATATGTTTCTTCCAATATTCATTGCAGCTTATTTAATTGAGTTGAATCTACTAGCTGACAATGTCCCTTTTAAATTGAACAGCGAATGTTTTGAGGGCCTCATTTGCAATTGTAGGAAACCATATATTCATATCTAGTTTCTGTTTACAACCAGAGGGAACACTAATACACTAATATTTTCGAAAGCCCCTGCATCTTTAGATCCACCAGAATGAAGAAGTGGTAGCTAGTTTTTCGTCCCTCCGACTCGCACCTACAAGATGTCTGCTTATGAACCCACAGATTTCCAGTTTGATATCAATTTGAATGATGAGTCTATACAAAGGGTCCTGAAGAAGCCCGCCACCTGGGCGAAACTAGTAGACAATATCTCGCAAATAAATCTCTTTAACTGTAATGCTCGAGTGTGTTGCTGGTTGGTCTTCCTACCATAAGTTTCTGTTTAAAGCCATAATTATGATTTTTCAACAAATCTTTTAATGTTTCAGGTACTCAGGAAGTACAGCATTCCAATAGTAACTTCAAGTTTGCAGCTTACTACGGAGACCATATGGTTCTGCAGCGGGCCCCTAAGCAGGCAGTGGTGTGGGGATATCATCCCTTCACCTATGTTTATGTAGGAGTCACCATAGGAAACAATACTCAATATGGACTAGTCAATACACATGGGGTATGGAGTGTGATCCTTGACCCTGTTGAGGATCCCGGGCCCTATAATATCACAGCGCATGGGCTGGCAGGGGAGATTTCTCTGACGGATGTCTTATTTGGAGATGTTTGGGTTTGTTCAGGACAGTCAAACATGGAGTTTACTGTCAGAATGGTATGGAAATTATATGCATTGATGTGGTTTTGCTTTGGTATTGATGAAGATATGTTAACCGTTGAATTAAAATGAAAAAATTACCTTATTTTATTATTATTTTCAGCTGTATTATATGTTTATTATATGCCCTGAAAAGTATCCTCAAGTGTACATAATATAAGCCTGACTTAATCACCTCAGTGATTTACTGACACAGTTCTCAGTTTTTTTAGCTGACCTGTCCCAAAGGGCCCAAGTAAGCTTATTCCATAGCGTGGCGTCTGTCTTGCGTCCGTCAACTTTTCATTTAAACAACTTCTTCTTAAGTAACGAAAGGCATAGAGTTATCATATTTGGCTGGAAGGTTCCTTTGATGAAGCCAAACAAAGTTTGCAAAAAGAAATGACCTTGACCCATATTCAAGGTCACAGAGGTCAAATGTGTTAAAACCTTTAAACAACTTCTTCCAAAATACTGGAAGGCCTAGTATCGTTATATTAGGCTACTACTGGTATGTTCCTCTTATAGTGTCCTACAAAGTTTGCTAAAAGAAATGACCTTGACCAATCTTCAAGATCACAGGGGTTAAAATGTGTTAAAATTTAATCAATTTCTTCTGGAATATTGAAAAGCCTAGAATCATTATATTTGGCCAGTATGTTCCTTTTATGAAGTCCAAGAAAGTTTGCAAAAACAAATGACCTTGACCCATAGTCAAGGTCACAGGGATCAAATGCGTTAAACGTGGAACATATGCACAGATATAGTACTGTTGGTCATAAAGATCCAGGTGAGCGATACAGGCCCTCTGGGCCTCTTGTTAATCCTTATTTGTATAAACAATCAGCTTAGTTAAATGACTGAAATTTACCGTATCATTTTTTAAAAATTCAAATAGTTTTTTCTGTTGCCAATGTTTTTTCTTCAATACATATGATTTATTTTTTTAAGTGCACCCTTGTGTTTTTGTAAGCATGTAGTATGCTAAATATACTTGTAATTAGATCATGTATAGTTAGAGTTGTACTGATGAATATCAATCTGTATTCTACAAAATCTTATAGGGAAAACAGATTTTGTAAGTCCTTTTAAATTCTAATAAAATATTATAAAATTATGAATTTCAAAACATATAAATCTGCCCATATTTGATTTCAGGGAAACAATGCAACTGAGGAGATACAAGATGCAAACAACTATCCAAGTATCCGAGTATTCACAGTAAACCAGAGGGCTGGGTCAAGTACACCATTGTCGGACTTCACCATCAAAAACAGCATCAAACAGTACTGGTCTGTTGCTTCTAACAGTAGGTGATCTTGGGAAGCGATTTTTGTTTTAATTTTATTTATTTTCAAATAGGAAATTTGCATCAAGCAACAGGGGTTGTTCTATGCTCTCCAATGGTACATTATTGTTTGTACATTGTACTTGTAAAAAAACAACAATAAAAGACAGAATTAGTCTCCTTTTTGAAACAGCTGATCACAAGAGTATACTTGACGGGTTTCATTTTGTCAAAACTCTTTAAAGACATTTTCTGGCTTCATGATAAAAAACTGATGCAATATTATTCTTCTGTTCCTGAAAGTCAAAGACATCGTAAAATTGATGACAAAAGATCTTAAATAGCTAGAGCAGGTCTTCTGTACATGAAAGTTAAACACATTTATCTAAACTTTATTTAACTTGCTCTAAAATTTAGAGCTTAATAAATGTATTGTCATGAATGTTATTATGAAAAAAGGCCAATTATATAAATAGCCAATCCGTAATAAGTAAAATTGTATTTTTTTCTGTCAACATTTTCAAGATATGCAGTTTGTTGACAATTACATTATCTCCAATGTATTTTAGCTTCCATTGGTGGATCTGACAAAGACTGGGGCTATTTCTCAGCAGTATGCTGGCTGTATGGTAAATACCTGTACCAGAAGTTGGGCTACCCTATAGGTCTGGTCAACACGTGCTGGGGAGGCACTGCAGTGGAAGCCTGGTCATCTCCTGAGGCACTGTTGAAATGTGGTCTGTTTAGATCAACAAAAGAAACTGAAAAAACCAGGTTACCACCTTGTTCATTCAGATTATACATGTAATTACCTCCAGTACTGGTCAGACTGATGACAAGGTAACTTGTTTGAGGATTATTGAATGACAAGTGATGTAGATTCAGGGTCTTGGTGCCCACTATTGTTTGATCTTTACTTGTTCTTTAAAAGTTGGATCTTTTCCCTTCTTTTCTCTTCTCTGTTTTTGCTCTTAATGATAAGACATTTGAACATACCTTTGCAGAAATAATTTTTACCTGTCACATCCAAAATGGTTACCTGGAAGCCATTTTGTTTCTTTTGATCTGTCTGAAAATCAAATGAACACTAATAGAGACCAAAGGGAACAGTCATATGAAATTTAAGAGAAATCCATTTAGTAAGAAATAGGGATAAGTGTCTTTATTAGGAGAAATCCAAGATGGCTATCTGTCGGCCATTTTGTTTCTGGTCAGTCCCAAAGTCAAACAGGCAAAACAAAGAACTAAGAGGAACATATAATGTGAGAAGGATCTATGCTGTGGTTCTCAAAAAATAGCCATAACAAACTTTCAAAGTCAAAATATAAGACGGCCACTTGTTTGCCTGATTTGAAATCAAAGAAATTTAGTGGTAAAATTGCATTGGTCATAATTGGGCTATTATCTTGTTTTGATATTCAGTGTTGCTTTATTGTATATCATCATCAGTGGTCATTTAAGTAGATCAGTGTCAGAGAATGTAATTTCCAAATTATGCTTCTGATTCCTACATGTTTTTAAGTAGATTGATTTATTCTGTTGATTCCCACACTTTATGTAGACACTTTATTTTGCTGCATTCCCCCCCCTTTCTCCTATAGATTTTCTGTAATACTTAATAATGTACTGATACCTAAAATAAGTCTCCTCAATATCCATCAGTAATAATGCTGATACATTGTACAAGTATGCAACGTGAATATGTTACATTGATTTTTATATAAACTCTTCATGATTATAATTTGTTACAGTTCAAAGAAAATATTTAGAATACATTTCAGCCTACTCAAGTCAAGGAAAATTAAGTTTGTTTATAATAAAATGACTTTGGATTTCTTTCAAGATCATGCATTAAGATACTTTAGCAAAATAAATTAGAAAAAGATACATGTATTATAAAGTTATATGACAATGTATCCAAGGTGGCAAAGAAGTTTAAACTACTGGTATTGAGTTTTAATTTGTTCATCAGTTAATTTGACTTGCTACTTCCACACTTATTGCAGGTTTACAGATCCAGACAGAAGTTCAGATTACCGTTATTCCGATAAACTGAACTTTTCTTGGCTACCAAATTACTCTGGATTGTGGAATGCCATGGTTCACCCATTCCTCAACATGACCATATATGGAGTTATTTGGTACCAAGGTAGGTAAGCTAAATAACCCATCACTACCTTGGTGGGAAGACTGATTACAATATTTATGTACACTTAAATAATCATACATTGACTGAAACAGTCTGTTTAAAGCATGTATACCTAGGACATTAATCTAGCCCTTTATAAGTGACCATACAAATACAGTTGAGTGACCATGCAAATTGAGTGACCATACAAATACAGTTGTGACCATACAAATACAGTTGAGTGACCATACAAATACAGTTGAGTGACCATACAAACACATTTGAGTGACCACACAAATACAGTTGAGTGACCATACAAATACAGTTGAGTGACCATGCAAATTGAGTGACCATACAAATACAGTTGTGACCATACAAATACAGTTGAGTGACCATACAAATACAGTTGAGTGACCATACAAACACAGTTGAGTGACCATACAAATACAGTTGAGTGACCATACAAACACAGTTGAGTGACCACACAAATACAGTTGAGTGACCATAAATGTAGAGTTTTCTTGTGATAGTTAAGCACATTAATGTGACCTAGTTAGAGTAACCATATACACAAAACTCGTTGATATAAGTATTTGTGTTTACATTTGACTGTATACATACTCCAGCTGAAGTATTTGGTTTCTATATGTACTCATTTTTTATATCTCTATTGAAACAGGAGAATCAAACGCTCCGAGTCCTCATGACTACAACTGTACATTTCCTTCAATGATCAGTGACTGGCGAGTCAAATTCCATGCTTCACATGGACAGAACGACCCAGCCTTCCCTTTTGGATTTGTCATGGTATGTATCATGGCAATAGCCAATTTTTCTTTAATGACATTTATTACAACCTTTATTTTATTTGATGAATTGTAGATTTATTTTGTGTTCAATTACTGCAGTATTGTGTGGAGATATCCATTACACATATTCATGGATTTTTTATGGGATGGCTTTTCTGGCACAAATTCAATTTTGATAATTTAGTTTTAAAAAACTGAAATACTGCTATCCATAGTTGTAACACCTGTAGTCAATGCATTTATATCCTATTTACCAAGTAGGTGTAAATATACAGCTATATGTGTATATGATGTTTGCTGGGCATTGATAAAATGTTCAAGTCAAATATTTTTAATCAGCTGTAGCTATGGGTAATGATATTCTTGTTTATGCTTCCCAGAATCTTTTGATGGAATAAATATGTACAATTGCCACTTGAAATTTTCTGTCTGTCCTTGCCTTTTTGTTTTAGTATTATTTTTTGTGTTTTGTTTCCCAATATGGCATAATTGTGTTGCAACCCACTTTTAGATCTATTCACCCAAGTTCAAGGTCACTCTGAGGTGAAAGTTCAAGTTAATTGTCTTTGTAATGTTACGTTTAAGTTTTTTAAATCGGATTCATTGTCTGAGTCACAATTTCTGCCATAATGAAGCAAGATTGTTGAAATAGACATTTATTTGATATTCATATTCCATATCAGGTCTACTTGACCTAGGTCAAGGTCATTGTCGGGGCCATAATTTCAGAATTGAGGAATGTGGTTTAGGTCAATGAAATTTTATGAAGATATATGTCTAGGTGGTTTTATATCAGACATAATATCAATCTTATTTATTGCTTTTCAATTCACCTACAGCTTGGTGCAAATGAGCCAGACATGACAAAATTTGATGGTTTTCCTGAGATACGTTGGCACCAGACAGCTGATTTTGGCTATGTTCCAAACAGCAAGATGGCTAACACTTTTATGGCAAATGCTATGGACTTGCCCGACTTTCTGAACAGAGTAGGAAGGTAATTAAGGGTAAAAGTTCATGCACAAATTAAAAGCTTTTTTAATATTAGAAAATAAACCAAAGATAAATGTTATGTAATAAAAGTTTGTTATACTAAGTTTCAATTAGTGGCATATTTCATTATGTTTGATTGAACAAAAGAAATATAATGGCAATCCCTTATAAGGTGAATGCTTTTAATACACATTTAAAATGATTTCAATTAATTTTGAAATCCTACTGGTCATGCACACTTTGTTTAAAGGGTTTACCACCCTGTATAAAGCCAGAGTCATTTTGAAGTGGTTACTGGTATCTGTATCACTGAATAACATGCTGGAGGCCCATCACATGCCGTCTAAAGCAATAAGGGTAATTTGTGTACCCCAGGAAAGAGCCACAACAGTACAGACCAGTCCATTTCGCAGCTTTCTGAGGAACACAAACTGTCATGGGTAGAGACTGTCGGCCTACACACCGCAGACGTAATTTAAATGGTTCTGGTACAGTGGTCCTGCTTATGTTCCATCCGTCATGGGAAATGCGATAATAGATTGAAAGTGACATTAATATCAAGAGTCGACACAGTTTAAACCAGGAATTAACTTCCTGATGTGCCACCGACTTGTTCCTAACAGAAATTGTTTGAATATTGAAATTTGTAATCTGCTTTGTTTTTCCAAAATTGACAATGAATTTTCTGAACTTTCCTTTATTCTTTGAAATAGTCTTTAACCTGCTATTATAAATCATTGTTGTGATCAATTATGTTATATTCACAATTCACACATGGTCAAACTTGTACGTGTACCGGTATTTATTGATGAGATTAGCTGTACTGAAAGATTGAAAAATTAATTAATGCCCTGTTACCAATTGTTGCCTGCTCTTATTCAGTACCTGAATATTTAGGATTAATATTTTTGTATTAGTGGTGATATATACATTTAGAACATTTCTTGCCATTAGCATCCACCCAGGTGATAAACAAGATGTAGCAAGACGATTGGTCAATGCCAGTCTGGCTGTCGCTTATCACCACAAGGACATCGTTTACCAGGCTCCACTACCTACAGGTTACAAGGTAGACACAGAGGCTCGGACACTGGAAATTGTCTACAACAATGGCTCAGAGGCCCTGCAACTTAAAAACAATGTTGGCTTTGAGGTAGGTTACTTGTGTGCCATACAAATGTACTATCATTACATTATAACTGCACTAAACTACTGAAGTGGTATAAAACTTACTTTGGTATTGTCAAGTGTACAGTATAATATTGTAAATCTACGCAACCATTGGTAGCATCCTTGTAATCAGTTTAGATATACATGAATCATGATGTTGATATTTTAGTCTCAGGTATCAGGAACAGTGGGTATTCAAAGCTAACACAGACACCCTATAAAACTTATCAGCTTTCAGGCCAAAAGTATGTAACTCATGGGCATTGAAACTCAGAACATTACTCACCATAGTGGCAGATATTTTATTAATGATCCTTCAGCCCCTATCCGTGTGACTTTAAATTCTTCAATCAATGGCAGATATAAGTTTACCAAGGATTTAGTAAATTTGCTTGTCTGAATTTTGCTCATACCGTATGACCTAATAAGCAAACCTGCCATATAAGAGCATTACCTTTTTTATGTGTTTTAATAAAAACCTGTAAAAAATGTTCCTTACCTCACTGATCTGCCAAGACAATTTTCAATTTTTAGTGGCTACATAAAAAGGTATGTTCATGAAAAAAGGAAGAAGAAAAAATTTTCCCATCCAGATTTCAGTTGGAAATTTTCACTGTACATGGTTTCATTAATGCATCCCTTTTTGTATTTTGTAAGCACATGTTGCACATGCACTTATTAGGGCAAATACAGTATTTCAGATATATCACAAATACATTAGAACTTACCTTTATTATATTTCCAGATCTGTTGTTCCTATGGTAATATAACAGATTATTATGACCAGTCCTGGTGGGTACAGACCTCTGTTGACAGGATTACTCGCAGCACTGTGGTCCTTAGTACAGCTCCGTGTCCAGCTCAGACCATTACAGGAGTCAGATATGCATGGAGGATATCGCCCTGTTCCTTCAAAGACTGCGCTTTGTACTCATTGCTCAGTTCTCTTCCAGCTTCACCTTTCTTCTTCACCAGCAGGACATTCAGTAGGGATGGTAGTTATGTCATTGATGGTTCTGTACCACACTCTCTCCCAGTGTAGTTCTTACTTAGGGTGGTAACAGAGTAACAGTCGATTCAAAGAGACAGGCAAAATTCTTAATTTGGTTGTGACTTGCTGACTGCAATGGCTCGTGGCAGTTGGGAATATCCTCACTGAAACGGAGGGACAGACAGCACTCTTTTCAGGGATGCAATGTGCCAAATGCAAGTGGCAGATTTGCATGTTGGAATTAGGTTATACCATTGTTCTATAAATTAAACAAAAAATGACAACTCTGTTCATACCCCCAGTAAATGGAAGCATGACCTGCAGAATGCATTGAAAATACATACAGTGTAAGTACATTCCACTTACTTTATAATATATCAGTACTTATCATTCACACACAAATTCTGATTTTCTCTGGTTGCAATGTTAAATCACTGTGCATTCCTGGTAATATTTACCCATAAATACATTCTACTGTGGTTATAGAATTGATGTGTTGGTCGACAGTATCACTTGTGGTATTACATGGATGCTGCATCTTTTTAAAAAGATTTTTCTTGCATGCATTTAAATAAGTGGTCAATTGCTTAATTACGAGTGATGTGCAGTATACCTCCTTGTGCTTTGTATGTTATTTATGAGAAATAGTTATTACCTGAACGACAACTTAAAGGTCAGCATTTGCAGAACTGCTATGCCTTTAGCCCAAAATAAAGTTATGGTAAGTATTACCTCATGAAAATTGGTTTTACATTAAAAAACCTTAAATTTCTCCATAATATATTCTCAGTTTTTTTTTTTTTTTTTTTTTCCATATTTCTGAATATACATTGGTGACAGTCACCAACTTGAAACATCCTCGAAGTAGTGGTGATTCATACAACCACAAATACAGAGGTACATGTTTCTGATCAACTGAAAGCTGGAGCCTGCAGTGAATGGTTTAGCTGTACTTTAAAGTACCAGGTAACAGCCTTTTATAGCCCTAAAAGGGATCAGTGGAGTCACCCATACTGTAGTCTTAATCACAAGTATAGGATAATACCGTCAATAGAAATCTATTTGTCACGATACATACCTGTTGTTCCTTTTGTTCTATGCTCATGACACTGTAACATTCTTGCGTTCATTTTTAATGCATTTCTTTTTATCATATCTGTTTTACAAATAATGCATAATATGAGTGTGATGGATCTCTGGTCCAAACTGTATTGGTCTTTTCCATTTAAAAATAAACTCAACCCAAGTACCCACAAAATAGATTGTTTCTGTATTAATAATGTGATCTACATTTAATATATTCAGTGCAAACTATGAAATTGACACATTAAAACTCGCAGTCAGATCCTTGAGGTTTTCCTGCCATGAGTAAATCAAATTTTTGTTTCTGTAAACATAAATATCAAAAGTACATACAGGTATTTATAAAATAGTTAATTGAATGGAACGGAGAATCATGGTTCAATTTATCCACCATGTCAATAACGACCATGTTGCCTCTATCAGGTATATTTATTAAATTTATCAGGTAAATGGTCAATTTTTTTGCTCCATTTTCATTGTAGTTGTAAAAATTTGTTTCTTTTTGTTTTCAATTTTTAGTGTTTAAATTTTTATAAACATATATGTCTTTCCGAAGTTTTATGTTTGGATATTGAGCCATTTTGTTTATATATATATATATATATATATATATATAACATATATATTTTTTATTGTGACAGGTACATATATATTTATTTCGAATTGTGTATTCACGTGTTGTGCCTGTGCCACATTGGTCCTTTGTGTACGTCCTGTCTTGTCCATATTTGGTGTTGTTAAGTTATATGTTAATTAGGGTGTAAGTTGTGGGGAAAGCATGAGAGTGCGAAAGGTAATTAAACAAAACTGTTCTACAACTGCACATTTGTCGCAGTCGGCCGTAGACCAGGGTGGGGACGTATCTTCGGGAGTCCTCTTGGTACAGCGTATTGAAAAGACAACTGGATTTGGACTTTGACAAATTTCACCAGACATTGTACAGGTCTTGGAAGGGTTTTCTTTCATATGCGTCCGCCGGTTCATAAATAAATAATTACAAGGATCAGAACGACTGGTTGTTTTCTCTGCCCTGTGACATTATGATTAGTAATAATTTATTATTACAATTAAGTAACTCACAATACATATATAAAGATCTATGCAAGAACATGTGCCATGTATATTTTTATTGATTTGATAGATAGGTATAGTGTTGAAACTTCAGATTACCTACATAATAAAACAATTTTTATCATTTTATCATGTTCTGTCATTTTTCCACGATTCATTTTTTCAACCACTTCATTTTTAAATCACAATTTACACACCTCCTAGGTCTTTTTATCAGCATTAACTTTTAGGTGTTGACCAGATCATGAAGTAATACCTATTGGGTGTAACTGGGACACCTGTTTTTTAATTGCATGCACTGAAATGACTTGACATCTAGGATCCTCATTTTTCAATTCAGTAAAAGTTTCCACAACGCTGTTCACAAAATCAGGATAAATTGTTACTGGTTGGACTTGTGCATTTAATCACTGAACTGATTTCTGAAAAAAAACTCTCCTTAGGTTTTGAATGTTTGAGGTTATAAAACACTTCAACAGTGAAATGATGTAACTGGTATTGATGATGACAGTTCATTTCCGCTTCAAATGTAATGCAAGTACTGAAGAGAAGTGCCCTGCATGGTGTCAGACTCTGAGTATTACATTGATATTTGTCTTTTTTGTTTATTGCAAAAAAGACATAGTAATTACATATTTTGTATTTCATAGTTCTCCGACTTAAAGAAATTTGTAATATGTACAGGTATCAAATTTGATTTTGACCATTTACCTTATGACCTTGACATCTGGTCAATCAACTTTTCACTGGACTTCTGTCAGTAACGCTTCATTATATCAAAATATTGTAATAATAATATCATAATAATAATACAACATAATATCAAAATATTTCAAATTTGACCTTTTATTTTGGATGACCTTGACCTGTGGTCGGGTTACTAATCATTTGGTTTCAACAATTATTCTTCATTTTGTAGTCAGTTAATTTTTAACACTAACATTCAGGTGTAATTCCATTTCTATTTATAGTAATACTGACCTTGACATTTGGACAAGACAGCAATTGAGAACAAGCACTAACTGTGACGAAGCAAGTCCTGATGTAATCATCCAAACAGAACTGAAGACAATTTGCAAACACCAATTTTCTTTTTATAGTAACAGTGACCTTGACCATTGACCTTAAATCCTAAAAATCACTCCCACACACTTTCTTTGAAGAAACATTGGGTAAGTTTGAGGGCAATTGTTCCAACTGAACTTGAGATGGAAAGACAAACTAATTAATATAAGGCAGGGTTTTCCATAATTTTGTTAGTAGTAGGCTGTGTAGTGAAAGTAGGAGGCTGGCCTGCCGTGTATGTGTAGTCGTGTACGGAATATTATTACGGAACTGGATTGGTGTAGGTGGCCAAATGATCAAAGTAGCCGGTCAAATTGGCCGGCGACCGGCTCTTATGGAAAACCCTGTTAAGGCACCCAAAATTTTGATCGAGAAGCACCCTAATAAACACTAACTCTACGAGTCCCATTACAAATAATATTCTTAACTTCTTTTCAAAATCAACAGTAATGCCAATCCCTAATCATCTAATATCTGGTCACAGACCTTCAAAATCAAAGGTGACATGATTTTCAAAATGGTTATCAAGGCAAAAATATAATCAGTCCTATTACAGAGTAATGAGAGTATCCATTAAAATGTTTTATTTGTTGTTACATTTAAACATCATTGTGTCTATAATATTGGATTAAAAGATGGATTTTGACAATTTTAACTACTTCTACCAAAAGTGAAGAAATATTTGCAATTATTGTAATATTTCTCATGATTTATGCTGGTCGATATGACTGTCATCAGGTTGAGATAATGAAATCAGTTGAAGTATGAAGGAAAGCTTATCTATTATTGAATACAGAAAATATCCCAATATTACTATCATAAGGTAAAATTCTGTAAGAAAATATAACAGTGTTTTATTGCTAGTCAAAGGGAGAGTAACTCATTTTTGTGTTCCATTCATAATGAACCTGCATACACATGCATCTTGCAAATGTATACCTTTATTGGTAATCAGATATAAACATCATAGTTATTTCTATGTCCTATATGGGATTAGGTTGAATCAATAAAATCTTCCATTATGTATTATGTATAATTGGTGGTTTCCTTATAGACAACAAGCAGACTAATCTGAATTCCATGTTAGTTTTTTATGTCATTTACCAACATTCTCCCTTCCCTAAAATCTGCTGTTCTACACCATCTTTGACATTATTGCAGCACTGAGCAGAATTTTTCGTCCAAGGGGAATTTTCGTTTCAGGGAATTTTCGTAGCACTATGTATATATAGATAGGGTGTCAACAACCAATTATGACACCCTCCGCTGTGTTGATAAAAATTTTTTTATGTTTTTAGGTACGGGTCTGTTGTTAGCCGACAGGCGTGTCACCTCACTCGTGTCACCATTGTTTTTTCAAGCCACAGAAGCGCTAATTACCTAGCCTTATACACCTATTCTATAGTACTACTATAATAGTAGTATGAATATTCTCAGGACGTAAATACCCGGGATGAAAATTCTTCAGTACGAAAATTCCCGGGACTTAGCAGAATATGTGAAATGAGCTTATTAAGAAATATGTAATTTTCTCTTGTCAATTACTGTTATCACATCAATGCTAAGACTACATCATCTTTATAGACACAATAAAAACAATTATATATATATTCTATTCATTTTAATTTCACAACAGGGTTCAATCTTACAATGCTTTCAGGAAAACTGTCTCGTAAAATAATTCCCTTTTCTGTATTTGAATCAAGTTCATCAATAAATCCAAACCAATAGATTACCATTCCCGGGCCGAACCGATTCCAGTAGCTCCAGAACTGGTCCTTTAAATAGGACCTGTGACTGTATTCATCTCCAAATGATGCTTTACTCTCTATCCAGTTAACCATGTGTCCATCAACGGCTATTGGAACTTCCAGTTTTACATCTGGTGTTTTATCATAACCTTTAGCTCTCATCTGATCCTCGCCTATGTACGAGAGCTTCAGGGAATCTAAAGTTCTGTTTAGTTTAAATTCGTACTCGTGGCCAATGGAATGTTTAATTTTGTCAACAAGAGGCCCATACTGATCGTCGGACAGGACGCACTCGTATATCTCGTTGGCTAGGACTGGGTTCTCAATTAGAGTGGTATCCTTCATCATCTGCGTTACTTGACTACGTGGCGGATTGTCACCACCGTATTTAGTGCGTGACAAATGTCTCTCAAGAATCATTCTTGATAAGAGCGAAGGAGACAGGTCTATATTTCTGGCAATAGTCATTATCACATGTTTCTGGCCACTGTCTACACCATCCTTGTATTTATCATAATAATATTCAGTCGTATCCGGGCTGTAATGCAGATGGTGTGTTTTGCGCATTTTCTTTTGATAATCTTGTGCAAAAATACTACCAAGAGCACCAACTGAAACGTCTGGATACCGTGGAGCTATGTGGCGTAGAGCTTCATCTCTCGTTTTATACTTTCGCATAAGATCAACTATTTCGTTGTAGACGGCCAATTTCATACTTGTTTATCAAACGAATATGGCGGGTTATGTTGGAATGTATGGATCACCCGTGCGTTTTAATCCAACGGAATTACTAACGTTGTAGAAAAGTAGTTTTGAAGGGGGAAAACGGGTAAAAAATACGGAATATCCTTATTTTCATTATCGTTACTTGGAACATTTTCATATTTTTGAGCCCCAAAATAAAATATCTTTAACAGATAATTAACACTTTAACAACATTTCATAATGTCATCACTAACCCCAAACACCTTTTCTAGAAATTCACTTTTACTTTAAGAGAAGATCATTACATAAACATCAGAGATAACTTCGTTATTTACTTTTTTCCCGAATTTTTATGTAAATTTAATTTTCTCATTACAAAACCTTTTTATTTTTTGACCGAGCACCAGCACTAAAGCTCCACTTTAATCGTTATTACTAAATCCAGTGAATGTTCATGTCTTGATGAAGCCCTCATAGACTGTTTTAACATGTTATAATATCAATGCAATCTTCCTTCAATATGTTTTTGTTCAGTCCATATAACTCTCTATTTAACATACTGCTGCACTGTTTTATAAATCAATTGTCCATATGCTGATTTTTGGAACAATTGATTTGTGGGTGTGTTTGTGTTTTTTTTTTAATGAGTTGTTCCATCTTCAGTTAAATTTAATTAGCAAGTGTACAGTAGTACATTAATTATCCATGATTTGTAGAGGAGAATAGCTGTCAATTTACTAGAGTAGTTTAAGCTTTTCTTAATTGACTAAACAGGTAACAGAGTTTTCTATTGTAACTTTTACTGATGATGCAACGGAGCAGCCACTTATGCAACTGCTGACCTTGTTGTTGCTCAGCTTAAGAACATAACACTCGACCACACAAGCACCTATTGCATTATGCAGCTGAAATGTCCATATCCATGAACTGTTACATTACCTCCTTCACCGATCAGCTTCATCTCCGATCTCTCATATGGTTTCAACATGGTATCCACTACGTACACAACTATTGTTATGTATAAAATGGTGCCACCTTAGGACTAGAACCATTAATCCCCAACAAGTCTCCAGGAACATTATGTTTCTGATGCTGTCCTACGGCAACCTACAGAATATAGGTTAGACCTCACCAAATGAAATGTGCACCCAGTGAAAAACACGGCAATCACCCTGTACTGACCTCACTCAACGTTACTTTACCATCGTACTTAAGCACATGGTCATGGCACTCAAACTGCACTACCATAAAAGCTACTATTTCACTGTGTAGCTGAAATGGTCATATTCATTCACTATTACACTAGTATATCAAGTATACATGATAAACAAATAAACAATTTTTTTTTGTTCTTATAAAATTTTAATGACAACCTGCTCTACATTGCAGTAACTTTTTCCCATACACACTTTTACCAATCATAACCTAATTTGGTATAAATAATGTCTGCCATATGAAATAGATAAAATATAGTCCATTGTTAACACTTGAGCTCCTCTTGCAATCAAGAGTCTCTCTGCCCTTGAGGACATCAGAGTGACATGTGTTACATTGTATGGTGTTCATTTAATGTCTCTGTCATTTCCTGATGTTGGCCGAGTGGAAGCGATGTGTGAATTTCAGCATTGTGTCATTACACTTAGTCTAGTAATACGTAACGCCTGGCTGTAACAATACGATTGAACAGACGAGATCCTCTTCCGAGCTGGTGCTGTAAAGAAATGAAGTATTACAGGACGTTATTACAATATTGGTATCCATGCATATATAAATTTCTGATAACCCTCAACTCTGCATGATGCCAGCCAAACTTTCAAATGATGGGATTTAGAAATAAAAATTGGATGGCAAAACTAAAAATGACGATGATATAAGTCTTTACATTATCAACAATTAATATTTCAAAGATTGTGTTCTATCTTTTATATAAAGTTACAATTCACACATTTTTTTCAATTTTAGTAAGATTGATAAACTATGCAAGATATTTTCTAGGTATGATTATTTTTGAGTGTGTGTGTGGTTTATATAAAAAATCAACTCCTACATTAGCATAAAAGCTTTGAAATGAAATTTCTTCAAAGTGTTCAATGGTGATACACACATTTACCCAAGAAACAAATGGACGATCATATTTTATATTTGAATGATGTCTTTATAAATCTGTGACATTACAACATTTGATGTTGGTTTGTATGTAAAAAAAAAAAATAGATGTGAATTACCTTCCTTAGTTCACTGATTTTCTCAAATAAACACAAAATACAAACAGACAAAAGATGAATATGATTAAATAAAGCACAAGCATTGAATCCGAAAACATCCATCTGGTGCAATAATGTTCATCAAATTTTATAAAGTTTAGTCAGTACACACCTCTTTGCTGAGATGATCCCAACACTGATACCAGTTGCTGTAGGCTAACATGTATGGAAACTTTGCAGCCACAAGTCTGTGGAGATAAATGTACAGTGATGCAGATGTAATATTATTGTGTATTAGAAAACTTTCACCTATGAAAAAGATCTCCCCTATAAACAGGTCGTTCTGTAAGCTGTTGACTTTTTTCATGATGAGTTCAATGTAAACACTGACATAGAACAAAGGTTACAATGTATCGTATGATTTTAATTTGTTGTCAAAGAACAATGTAAATTTGTTATTATTCTCCTCGTCTGATTTTCAAACCAAAAAAAAAAAAAAAAAATAGAACGCTAATCTTTTTCTTCATTAAAACTCACTTTCAACAGTTCATTCGGATCAACATTATATTGATTTAAAACGATGGAAAATGCATAACCTTTGACCTTGCAGAAACTTGTCTAAAAACAGCACAGTATTAAAGCGGACCTGCATACTCACCCTGAGTTGTTTACGGCCATCAAGTTGCCGACTAAGGAGAACCTATATGTGAATGTCCCAATGACAAGCTAGAATGGGAAAAGACACATTATATAGAAATTTGCACTACCACACATTATCCTTCATTCATTTCAAGTATGAAAATTGTTAGATGTCAAAACTTTACATCTGATAGTGTTAATGGATATTAGCAAAACTATGTTATGGGTATGTATCATTTCATAAGAAAATGAGAATAATTAATTTTCAAATATCAAAAGAACTATTCTATTTTAAGAAAAAAAAAGACTAAATTTTACACAACTCAAGATACCTATGACTGTTTTCTCTTGAAAATGAACATTATTATAAGAAAAAAGCCACTTACTCCACAAGCACTGGATGTGTAGGTTCTCATCTCCTGTGAACAAAACAAACATCTTTTACAAATAGAGAATAATTGATTTTGAAATAAAGTTGATAAAAGGTAAGAAATGAGCATTAAGTAAGATGATTACAAGACAGCATATGTACATGTATCTTTACCACTTCTAGTACAGAGTACTACGCTGAAGTATATGGAATTACAACTGGTATCCCAGGTAACTTCAATTAACATTAATTATCTTTATAAGTAAAATGTATATTAAACTGTTTTAAAACAAATGGGTAAAAAAGATGTTATAGCCATTTAAAAACAATAAAATCTGTTTTTCTGTTGACTGGCTTTACATGATAATCCAAAAACTTCCCTCTTGTGTATGGATAGATTCAAAATATGGTGCAGAGAATTTGTGTGACCTTTTTGGCAACCACAATCAATTGAATTTTGCTTCTTATAATTCACCAGAATTTGACACAGTTGTTTGAATTTGCTACTTCAATATCTGTTCTATTAATTCTAATAGTTACCTTATCTTCAAGGAAGTGTTTGTTGATCAGGTTGGCGAAAAAGTTAGTCAGGAAAATCGTGATTACCTCCCCTACTAGTCTGGGTATAAGTCCACTACAATGTCAAGTGCATTATCATATTATCTACACAATATCAATTGTCTAAAAATCAACTTTAAAATTTCAAATTCTTTGCATGATGTTTCAGAAGAATTAATACACTATATAGTGTTGCTTCAATTATGCTCAATATTTTCTCTTCTTGGGTCTGTATTTCTGAAACTTGAAATTCTTCCATATCGGTCTGCAGTATCTAATATGTGTCACAAGTTACATATATAAAACAAGAAATTGCAATAACCTACACTCTATGGTAATCAAACTTAAAAATATTATTTCATCACTGAAGCATTAAATTAAGTTTTAAGATTAGGCTGGTTTCCTAGTATATGGAAAGCACTTTCTGCGGGGTTTCATTACCCAATCAATACTGAGATAAATCTTTTAAGAATGGTAAACAAATTAGAAAAGAAGGAAGTAAGAATATGATCAATACCAGTGTGTGTGTACCGCACTGTATGATGGTGCCGACGGATACTTTTAAGATAACTGGTAACTTACCCAAAGAATCCAAGGATTCCGTCATTGTTGTAAATCTCTACCAGCGAGGACCACAGTGAACTGTAAAAACGAGAATATTACTGAGATACATGTGTTGCTGTCCCCCCTTTGACTAACATAAATGATTTAGTCTCTGAGAGAAAAATCTGTTTGATATTTCTAACAACAGCATTATCTATAATTTTCATACATCCAATTACATATGTATATACAGATATAAACATGTGTATTAACGTAACTTACTTGTATTGTGTTTCTCCACCAATAAACTGTGCTTGGCACCTCAACATTATCACTGAAAATAATTATCAGTATATTAGCAGCTTAATCAAAAACTATTTGAGTGAGTAATTTTTTCCCCTTTTTTTGAAAATCTTATGAAGAAATATTAAATGAGTGCTCATTAAGAATTACGTTTTCTTTTTCTTACGTTATATAATCTATACCATCACAGTCACATAATCAACTAAACGTGAGACTGATACAAATTATCCAGTATAGAGATGTGTTAAAATATGATTGCTAAAACTTGTTTAAATGTAATGGTACAATGTATATATATATACACAATTTAAGTTTAAATATAAAACGATTCCTATTAAGAAATAGATGATACATGTAAATGAAGAAAACAAGACTGATACAATAATATATTGTTCCAGGTAATGAGTAAAGTGGTGAAGTTAGTAGTCTGATTCAATTGGTACTGTTTGATAGAGATCAACTCACCATGGAAACATACTTACAAAATATATAACATCAATCTTTACAGGTTTAAGGTTAAAAATCCCGAGAGATATGACTTTGATCTTAATCATAAACACATCACCAACAAAAACACAGGAATCATGAAGAACTCAGTTTGTGTTTACAAGATGTTTTAAAGTCAATAATGACTAAGAAATCAGGAAAAAAATATATGAAATTTCTAAGTACTGATTTTATGAATGCTTTTGAAACAATCATTTTGCTAACTTGGCATCAAATGGTTGTTGTGAAATATCGAATTTTACCCTCTATACAGCAAGATCATTCCATTTCTGCCTTCTTTATATATCATTTTTTCATACATATCCCCAACATAACCATTCTGATGACATTCAGAGTGCCTATTTCTACAGATTAAGTAATGACCCCTAAATGCTGAGATGTTTCGTGCATTACAATTAGTGGATATTTCCACATGAAACGTGTGGAAAATTATCCTTAATAAAATTCTCCACACATGTACTTTACTTCTTGAAACTAAATAAAATGTTTAAGTTATTTGTATCATCATCTCCTCTGAATATTATAGCAGTATCCACAATACTTTATCAGCAATCAAATAATCAGTTCTTTTTAGTTCCAAAAACCAGGAATGCTGTCTGTGTGCTTAGATATCAGATGAAATTAAGTAAAATAGTGGTTATGCTTGATGAGGATGTATATCATAAAAGATCAATTTCTGAAAATTTAATTATATCAGAACCACTCTTACCATGAAATGGTTGGCTAACTATGATTCCTGCGCAGCGTCCTACTGTTTCTTTCGACGTCTAAAAAATGCAAAACAGAATAATAAACCTGCTATTGTCACTTTTGAAAACACGAATCTATTAATATTTATTCTTGAAAAAAAAAATTAATATCTATTCTTCAAAATGATTGCAACAATGCATGACTTAAATTCAATTATCATATAAATTAATTTGACATCATAAAAAAGTAATTTTGTAAGGTTTCTCCATGTGAGCTCCAGCATATCGATATTTTTTTTCAAAATCACTTTAAAACATAGCAGGTTCTCAAGGATATGAAGAACAATGTAATTCTTACCTGTAAAAAGAATGTCTTTAACCATCCTACTAACTCGTCAGCATTGTGGCTGTCAGCTTGACCAGACTCCTCTGTGTAGGCCCCAACACTTTTGAGATACTACAACAATTAATAATACAAGCATTACATATCACCTTTATCCATAAAAAAACTCCTTCATCAAAATGCATTGTCATTTCACATAGTGAAACATTTTATTACCTGGAATTATGAGTTAAAACACATACAATATATGTCAAGCAACCATACTTAATCAAACCTAAGGTTCACAACTTGTGTTGGGAAATGAAAAATATTTAAATATTTTAAGAATATGATAAACTTTTACATTATAATTAGCTTTACCATTTAGCCATACCTACATGCATCATGTAATATCTATACAAAACCTAAGAAAGTCTGGTGTGCAGATTTTCCCCCCTCAGAACAACATGTAATTCTTCAAGATCAATTCACCCAGTAGCAGTTCGAAAGACAAATAAAACTTGAACAAACTAAAGACATATTGACGCTAACAGCAGCACCTCCTCAGAACTGAGAAGTATTTACCAAGCAATGATTTGACAAAAAGACCTCAGTTTATAGACATTTGTTAGAGTACGAAATTTCAAATAGGTACATTGTTTGTTGCTGTAGTGGTGAAATTGCCGACAAAGCCTCCCAAAATCCTTGGTACAAGGCCTCTGTACAGCCCTAGGAATCCTTCTTTTTGTTTGATGTGGCTCACTGAAATAGATGAGTAAACATCATCACAAAGTTCAGTTCCAGAAATCATGAAATTTATCAGATAACATTCATAGAGAGATTTGACACAATTTTTGATCTTTAAAAAAAACAAAACAAAAACAAAACAAACTGGCTAAATATAACTTGTCAAATACAATGTATCTGATTTATCACACAGCTATGTCAAATATATCATTTTCTTCAAACCTAAAGATCTTGTCTACCTATTCACTATAATTAAGGCATTATGCATGTACCCTTCCTTCTTACTTACTATATCGCAGAATATTTGGATAGTACATTTTGTCTCCTCCATACCACATGAAAGACCTTCCTGGTTCTGCAGGCAATGGTTCATGACCAAGCTGTCAAGCAAGTAAAAAGTTAGATAAATATCTAAAAAATAAACAAATGATGTGCTTGAACATTTCTTAACTTATGTATGTTATAATTGTTATGTTTTCTCTCAGAACCATCCTTTTAAATGAATACCAGCCACAGAGGTTTCATATTCTTTATAAGATTAAAGATGACACTGAATATTGATATTGTCAATTACAATAATGATATACCTAAACTCCAAGGGTCCTTGAATAGCGTACTCTCAAAAATGGAGTTCTACCATAAAGAACTGACAAAATCTTAGGAAAACAACAACAAAACCAGACTCTTAACCTCCCTTTGACCTCAAAGCTCTACCATATTAAGCTACCTGGGGTTTCATTTTTTTCAGAATAATATTATAGCTTTATATTGGAGATTACTATTTGGGTAGTCTTGAATCTGTGTCTACGAACCAAAAATCAACTTTACAGGAAGTGAAATTTTCAGTGTTTACATGTGGTCATGTTATGAAGGATTTCCTAGTTGGAATTTGCTGAAATGTTAGTAGTTTGCTACCATGGCAGTGAAACGGGGATGGGATTTGGGGCAGAGGACGCTACAACACCAACTCAGCCAGGTTCAGTTCATACATATTTATTCACTTCGTGGGGCCCCACGTTGGGCGCCAATGAAACGGGGATTGGATTTGGGGCAGAGGATGCTACGACACCAACTCAGCCAGGTTCAGTTCATACATATTTATTCAGAAATAGATGAAAACCTGAAACAATACAACACTATATTAGACGGACAGTACATTACGAATTACCATGTTGATTTTGAGACAGGTGTTTAGATATAAATTTCTTCTATAAAGTTGTAGTGTTAGGTTGGAATTAGCAGTATTTCAGCATTTTTTCAGTAGGTAACCATGGCAATCACATGTCAAAAACCAGAGGAAATTTTTTACTTACACAAATTTTATCTCTCTGCTATTAACGTAATTGTTATGTAGCTTATAAATATCTATACATGTACATCTCAAACATGACCAATAATTTCAGGAAAAATGCAAATTAACTTTTTCTGTTACCTTTATGAACAGCCAGTTTTGTGGCTTCACTCAAACTAATGATTATGCATCATTTAAAGGGAAATTTTAAAATATTCAAATATGAATAAATTCAAAACAAATAGTGAGAAAGTAAAATCTAACAACATGTAGTTAGCAAATATGGCACTACAAATATCAGAACCCACGTGCTAAATCAAGAGAGGGATCTTTTGGTAGCTGTAGTATAAGTACAATCCATTTTTCCTTTACAAAAACTGACAAATAATCCCAAAACTGAAACCAGAAATCAGGTAAACTGAAAATCAGATTTGCTCTTTATCTTCATTGGTAAAAATATTTTTCAATGAGATTTTGGCAATATGCATTTCAAATAATTAAGGTATATGTTTTCTTAATTTACTTGATAAGTTTAAGAATTGTTTTCATGTTCACATGAAAGCTTGAAATGTGTTTTTATTGTGCACTAATATATCTTTTCATCCTATCAACCAGAAGGCATGCTCATTCTGAGATAAGATAAAAAGTTCAAGCATTGACTTTCGTTTTCAATCGACGGTGACATGTCATGACGACACCTATCAATCGGTTTTTACATTGTACATGTACAATAGGATTGGCTATGCAAGTTGTCAACTCACATAAATACAATAAGTCAACCTTTAAAGAATGTATTCAAGTATCTTACGTCACTAGAATAGTCTGGGTATACCAAATCATGACTTAGTAAGCAATGATCTCGGGTACGGAAATATCTTTCCAAGGACATGGCAGTCAGTAAGACTACAAGATTAAGACACAAATTAGGTCTGAATATCAAAATTGGACAGTTCGTAACAAGACACGAGTTTAATATTAGATCTAAGTTTCTAGATAACATACTTTACCTGTATGAGAAATCTTGAGAACCCTACAGGGTGAAAAACAGAAGTAAGTGTCGCACCAATAGCGTACTCGGCCATCATTTTCTCGCCGACCACTGCAAACCAAGTTGACGAGGCGCTTGACTGGAGCCACAAACAAAATAGTAATATTGTGACTAGGAATCCGGAACGGCCTTCCGGATCAACGACTCTCGCAACTTTAATATTCAACACAGACATTTTAACGTCAAAAGGAGCAACACAAATTGTAAGAACGTCACAGACCATGAGCCATAATGAATTAAATTCTACTCACAAGTGGGATTTCTTACATTTCCATCACGTCATTAGTTGAAAATGATTTGATAAAGTTTTGTTTTTATTTATCGTGCGTGTGTGGTTTTCGTTTGTGGGGTGGGTGTGGGGTTTGAGGATTGGGGTTCTTAAATTTTTGTTTCCTTTTTTGGGTAGCAGGGAACCGCTAATTTACATTTTTCCTGAAATTATTGGTCATGTTTTAGATATACAACATTACATATTAAAATATCTAATTCCTAATTTATTGAAAGTCTGTCCGATTATTGTTTCTGGAAAAGAAAATCTGCTGTTAGTAATTCTATAAAAGAAGTTTTTTTCCAAATATCAAAGTATTTATTCATAGAGACGTGAGATTTTGGTTAAATCGACATCAGGGATAACGGTGATATATCAATTTACATGGGGGATGTTAGTTATACGGCTTTTAGGATGCAACAGTGAAGGTCAGTTTAATAAATGGGGTTGATGGTAGGGTTTTCGCTGTTGCTTACTTGGCAGAGTTTTATTTCCATTCCTTGGGTTTAATGGGAGACTAAGATGATATTTTGACCAAGATTGAATGAGATAACATCAACTGAATGTATTTCAAAACGTATATTCAAAAAAATTCCGAATAGGGAAAAAAACCCGAGTAAGTTGAAGAAAAAAAAAAAACTGTTCGAAATTTCTATTTCGATATTTTCATTGATTGTGAAGCAGAGGGATGTTATTTATTGAATGTTTTTGACGACATTGTAACTTGCTATGCTCAGGTTTAATAGGTTGTTTCATAACAGACGTGTTAGTTATGAGTCAAGTGTAAAATTACCAAACGTATGTAATAAATAATGATAATCTAAAAAAAATGTCTTTCATGTAGAACTGCGTCCTCGTCGCAAGGCCAAGTAATATTCATATACTAAGAACGACTGAGTTTTCTATACATTTTTCACATTATAACAAACATGCATCAGACTGAAGGAGTGACCGCCCCCTAGCACGGGTCCGAGAATCGAGTGTAAAATAAACGACCTGCGATCATAATGAATGCAAGGTTGGACACGAATTATTCCACTTTTATGGGTAAAACGGATGTATTTACAATTTTATAGGTAGAAATACTGTGTGGATTTTATTTTTTTTTTTAAATCAAACCGAATAGTAACTGTAATTTGCAAAAATCGGAAAATTTCACGGTTGAGTGCGACGTCAAGTTCTCACCTCCTGAAAAATACAAGTCGTCGATTTATCTAAAAAAAAAAAAAAAACAGCTCAATATCTAAATTAATTCATTAAAAATAATATTTTAAAAACATTTGTGTTGATTTAAATAGATAGATTTATTAGATCTTTTGTTCTTGAGATATTGTTTATTTTTTAATTTCCTGGTGCGAGGGTGGGGCTGGGAACGGCGTACACAACCAATCCCATCTATTTCGTACGGAAATGTGTATCGCATATGTAAAATGGACTTATAGTCGGTATAAACTATCCGGAACACCAATGGATTAGAATTAAAAGTGGGGTTGGAGTCTATATATATATATATATATATATGTTGTCAGATGTCAGCAGTACTTGTGCTTATTTACAAAACAAGATTCACATCAGAACAGGACAACCGATTATAGAAGCCTTTATAACGAAATGCTTTATACCATTGGATATACATTTCTCTAATAAAAACGTGTTCGTGCATGATATCATTTTAATTCAGTTTTCTTTCAAAATTAATTTCAACTATTTGTTTTTCAAAGTATTTTTTTCTCTCTTTTTCCAGAGGGGCTTCCCTCCTAGATGTGGTTTATAAGTGGTATTGGTCAAGTTATTTTTAAAATAAATGGTTAGATGTGTATTCAGTTTTTATTTATCTAAAACAGTTACTATTCACTGTACATATACTTCAAAACAGAAATGCTGCATCTAAGATTGGAAAAATGCTCCCGTTTTTAATACGCCTGTTCCAATATGTGTCATTTTTGTTAAATTGTCGCAGTCCACAGATCTATAGGTTTATATAGATGTAAATCGTTTATATCATGACTTATTTGAAGAAACCACACCGTAGCAAAATTATCGCCTACTACTTATTCATTTCAAAGTGTACACGTCTTTCTGTGTTAAACAAGCGCCCCTTTTGCTAAAATGCATGCAAATTGTGCCTCCCCGTTGAAAAGGTTTACCGACGCGAACTCGCCCGTCACATGACTTTGTTAATCACGTGACTACATTGTTCTACATCACGTGAGTTGTCGCGGCGCTTAGTTACGAAGCTTTGCTGAACAGAAAAGCATGCGTTCTTTTGTTACTCGAAATGGATAGCCAACATTATATACTAGAAGCTCACAGTATCTTGTCCTTTTCGGACGGTAAGTGGCGAATTATCATTTTAACAATATCTAAGATAGGAAATGAAATATAAATATGATATGTTGTCAAATTAGGCTATTCAACACCGCGATTGGAACTGGAATACGGAACAGCACTGGTAATGAAATAAATGACAACATTAGCAACATTTATCAGATGGATGTTAAATGTCATAACCTGGTTGAGTGTACATATATATATGTAGGCATATATTATAGACCAGTCTTTGTTGCTGAAACCAAACGTAACCTCAGATTTTAGTGAATATGTAAACACTGCATATAGCAACTTTGATATATTGATTCATTACGTTTTCCTATTTTCAGATACTGTGAACATTGTGAGGAATGAAATCGGTTACACACAGGTAAATACAAGTACTTTTTCAAGTCATTTTTTTTATATCTTAATAACAACGGTCATTTTACTCACTGTAGATTCATTTTGTATGCCTGAGGTTTCATCTGCTGTAAGTCTGTTTTTTTTAATTGTAGCCTTTCATCCCTACCCAAGAATTCAAGACCAATTTGAGGAAAATCTCTGGCAAACTCAACGAATCTTGTAAGTTATTAAAACAAGTTCTTAGTTTATTTAATGTACATTGTACAAATGTATACTTAATCTTCTAAATTCACAAAAACAAACATTGTGCTAGTCAGAGTAAACTGATACACTGGTTTAAATATTGCTAAATATAATGAAATAATACATAAATGTATGCTTTTCAATTAGTACACAGTAACTTGGGATGACTATATTGATAATCCATTAAATATCATTAAAGAAAACTATATGGAGTTGTGGAATAAGGATTTTAATGATTCTTTATTGTTTTTCTCACTGAGAACTATAATTTTTTGTAAATAATTTGATACTATCTGTTTCGATAAGATGCTGTATCAATGTTTTATTTTATCTATGTAGTGTATGGTGATTACAGAAGAGAAATTGATGCTCTCAAGGTAAGACAGTTTTGTATGTCAATACTACCTTGCCACTACTATTAAGTACTGGTTGATATAAAGTACACAAGAAAAACTGAAATAGGCCCCTTCATGCTTGTTTCACAATTTTTGTAAAATGAATAAAATTGTTTTTATTTATGCATATAAGGACGATGGTAGTATTTTGGTTCAACATTTCGGGTTTTACATTTTCCTAATGAAACATTCTTTTTCTCTTTTAAACATGACTGTTATGTTGTGAAAAGGTGGACTGAGAACGGTACCATTTCCCCCCTCCTACTGGTACATGTGCATGTTTGACAAGTTATTTTATTTTGTTCTAGACTAACGTACAAATTGACATTGAAATAGCAACATTATTGGAGGCAGAGGTGGAGGTTAAACAGTCCAGGAAAAGTAAGTTGATTTTAAGTAATAATTTTACAAGAAACCATGTTGATATTAGATTTCATCACAATTTTTTTCCTTAATCTGATCTCATTTTCAATCTCAAGTAACATTGAAAATACATTTTCCCCTATGAGATGACTTCTATTGATTTCTGACAGAACGACGTTGAACACGGGGACCACTAAAAGTGATAAGTTTGTCTGAAATTAGCTAAATGAAAATATAGCTTTGTACTTAATTTCAAAACCACAAATTACATATATTTGGAGGATTGTTGTTCATAGAAGTTTATTTTTTCATTCATTAATTTTTAGATCTGAGAAGAGAAGTACAAATTATTTGCCCAGTAAGTACATAATTATATTATCCCTCAACACTCAAAATGAAATTAATTGTGAAATACCAGATACAAAATACAAAATAAAAATTGGAAAATACAAAATTAAGTCTCTTTGAAGATATGATTTTCTTGTACAGAAAACAAGGAAGATATGTTTCTCTCCCAATAACGGTACCATAATAGAACTGAGGAGACAAAGAAGCTAATCAATTTATATTTCTGTTTTGACTTTTACGTTTTGATTTCTCTTCTAGTCAAATGGCCCCACCAAGGAAGAAGAACTTGAATTGAAACAATTGAAAAAAAGATCTGATCTAAAGATGTATGGTAAGGTTTCTGTATTAGAAAACAAACAATATCATGATGAAGCACATTTGTTAGTGTTGAATTCAAATTCTGAATCAATTGTTAATGTGGTTTAAAAATTCATTTAAAAAATTACTGAAATTGTATTGAAATGAAATGAAATTTTTGAATGTTTGCTTTTTTAAATATGATCTCTTCATGTTTTGTTTATGATTATTTTTTCTCTTTTTATCCAGAATTTGAGGATTTTAAGCGGGATTTCGATACTAAGGTAACATCTAATAACTGACGTTTATCCATAGAATTTCATGTGCATGCGCTACAAAAAATGACTGATCATTCATGAATATTTGAATTTTCAGAAAAATGAATAAAATGCTCTTGAAATTTGTTGAGAGAATTTGTATTCCTAACATTGATGTATAGTTTATTCATAATCTTATTGCGATCATATCAT